ACGGTAGTCTACCTGACCGATGCGCTTCAGAACCTGATAAGGCCCATAGTATCGCACTCCTAGCTTAGTTGCCGCCCTTTGAGCTGTCGTGCGTTGCCTGAACGGTCGCAGCTTCAAGTAGACATATTCGCCTGGCGCGTAATTCTCTTCTCGTCGCTTCCCATCTATGAATGCCTTGGTTCGGTTGATTGAACCTTCGAGATTTTTCTTCAACTCTCGCAACATTATATCTCTCTCCTCAAGTTTTCGACCGACTTCATCATTGACCGTGCCTCCTTCTGAGTAGGTGATCAGTGTTGGCGGATTACGCCCGTAAACCAATTCGAATGGAGTCATCTTGGTCGACTCATGGTAAGTAGTATTGTACCAGTACTCAGCCCAGGGTAGAAAATTTTCCCACCTCTTCGGAAATTGATGGACATAGCACCGTAGGTTTTGCTCGAGGGTTCGGTTGGTTACCTCGGTTTTGCCCATCGGTTTGGGGATGATACGCTGAGCTCATGGATAACTTGGTCCCTTGCAGCTTGAAGAACTCGGACCAAAAGCTGCTCATGAAGATCCTATCTCGGTCGGAAACTATGGATCGCGGAGCTCCGTGTAACTTCATCACATATTCGGCGAACAACATGGCGATAGATTTGGCTGTGTAGGGATGGGTAATGGGTATGAAGTGAGCATAATTGGTAAGCCGGTCCACTACGACCATCACTCCGTTAAACCCATTAGAACTTGGCAACCCTTCAATGAAATCCATGGTGATGTCTTCCCAAATTGCCTCGGGTACTGGTAGCGGTTGCAGCAGCCTGCTTGGTCGGCGTGAATCAGCCTTAGTGCGCTGACAGTCGTCGCATCGTGCGATGTAATCCCGAACCGTGCTCTGCTGTCCTGGCCAAAAGAATGTATTGGCTATTGTAACATCCCGACTTTTTAATACTATCAGAGTACGCATTTTTCGCAATTTTTATGAATAATAAAATAAAATATTAATTTTTGCGAAAACTGATTCGGGATGCTACCGTG